CCTCTTGGAGGGTTGGCACGTCTTTGAAGCGATTTGGCGGTCTTTAGAGTCTCTTGGGAAGTATTGGGTGCCCCTCTGGGGCCTCTTGGGTCCTCTTGGAGGCAGCTTTGGGGCCTCTTAGGCGCCTCTTGGGGGACTCTTGGGCGCCTCGTGGGGCCCTCCAGGAGCTCTCTTGGGACCGTTTCGGGCAGTCTTGGGGCTATATTGGAGGCGATCGATCAAGGAAGGGGGGGGGCTTAATTTACAGTGTCCCCGCAGGCAGGAGGCCAACCTGTGCCCAAAGCCTCAGGAACATCACTGACTTCTTGGGCCCTCTGACACCGGGGTATCGTTCACTGGGGCCACGTGCGATCAGCTCGTGAATCCGCAGTCCTGCCCCGCTGCGCGCTGGCCGCGCGGCGCCGTGCCGCGCGCCGCGCTGTGCCGCGCACTCCGCCCTGCCTGTGTGCAAAGTTTCATGTAGCTTTCTGAACGCTACGGTCGCAATGCGCGGCCGTATTTACTCGAGCAACGATTTGCCAATACGAGTCGTTACTGCGGCAGTCGAGGCATCCGGCCTCGTCCAATGCGCCCTGTCAGGGAAAACCGTGTGCCCTATCTCTTGCATCCCTCATTCAATTCCATGCCTCATTACATTCCGTATGCGTTTGCCTTTATTTCTCACACAGCACATGCCCCGCAAATGTGTTGTACAATTACAATTGCCCACAATTGCCCCCACATGCATGCACTTCGCACGCGCTTGGCATATATCCCGTGCGTGCCCCCGATCGCTTCTTGCGCACGCTGGGGGGTCCAGGAGACTCCCCCCGCGGCCTCGCGGATACAAAGGGCCCGCGTGAGATGATGATGTAAGGAAACGGTATTTTGTTTTTGGGCCCTCCAGGCATTGGAAGTCCTTCCCGGGAGCATTGCAGACACGACGAACATCAACAAACCCAAACATAGACGAACATCAACAACCCCAAACTTACACCACATATGCACTACGCATGACCCACGCATATCCCGTACATGCCCAACGCATACCTCCACACTTTTTTTCCGTCGGCGGCTAGGCAGAGCCATTGCGCTGGCGACAGGGCACGAAACGCAAATTTAGCCGCCATGCAGGAGGAGGGGGGAGCAGGCGCCAGTTGGCGGCGGGACGGAGGAGGAAACGGGCCCGCTCAGAGCAGGGCCGGGCGCGCGGCGGGGGTGGGGACCAGCGACGGTGGGCGGGCGGCTGGGGGGTAAAGCCGTCAAGGCAGGCTGCGTGGCAGTTGGCCGTGGCAGGGGCCAGTGCCCAGCTGTGGCTGGTGACGACGGCGATTGCGGAAAGGAACCGCGGTCGGGCGGGCGCCGAGGACGCGCGTGACCCGAGTAAGCAGCCGGACCAGCGAGCGGCCGAGGCGGTGCAGTGCGAAACCACCTCCAGGTGAGGGGTCGGCCGGAAATCCAGGCAAGGCGGGAGCGGGGGCGGGGGCGGGGCGCGGGCTGAGCCCAGGGCCCTGGGGCGAGGGGGAGGCGCGGCCGGAGGGCCGGTGGGCAGGCCCGCCGCAAGGGCGAGAGCCGCTTGTCGGCAACAGAGGCCCCGTCAGGGCCGGTGGGGGCCCTCGTTGGGGAGGGGTTACTATCATGAACTGGCCCCTCAGGGGCCTGGGAGAAACTGCTGTCATTAAGTGGGTCTTCGCCGTCGGCGGCGGTGGGGGGGCGCCGAACTGGTGCACTGTCCGCAGAGGCGGGGGCAGCCCTCCCTGCGCGCGAGGCAGCGCCCTGGGGAGGGCACTGCTCGGCGCACGGAGGGCGCTGTTCGTACCTGCTCGTATCGTCGTCGTCCTCCCTTCTTTCCCTCCCTGCCGTCCGCAGCCTCGGGGGGACACAGAACTGGTGTGCTTACTGTCAGTAGTGTGGGGGGTCGCCCTCCCTGCAGCCAGGGCGGTCCCCTGGGGAGAGCGCTGCTCGGCGCACGGATGGCAGGCTGAGGCCTGTGGGAGGCGCAGTCCGTTCCTGATTGTATTGTATCGTCGTCGTCCTCCTCCCTTCCCTCCCTTCTGCCCTGCTGCCTGCAGCCTCGGGGGGACGCCGAACTGGTGTACTGTCGGTAGCGTTGGGGGTCGCCCTCCCTGCAGCCAAGGCGGCACCGTGGGGAGGGTACTGCTCGTCGCACGGAGGGCAAGCTGGAACCTGTGGGAGGCGCTGTCCGACCCTTCCCGTGCCGTCGTCGACCCTCCGCAGCCTCGGGGGGACACCGAACTGGTGTGTTGCTGGCAGCGATGGGGGAAGCCCTCCCTGCAGCCGAAGGGGTGCCCTGGGGAAGGCACCTCTCGGCGCACGGAGGGCGAGCGTCACCCTCCAGGGGTAGGCTCTCTCCTCCGTCTCCGTCTTGCGGGTGGGTCTCCTGCGGGTCGTATCCACGGTCGTCTTCATTGGCAGGGCCTCGCAGGGGCGCCACGGCAGGCACGGGGGAGATCTGGCCGCTGGGCCCGGCTGTCTGACAGGGAGCCCCGTCGACTACATTCTGGGACGAGGTGTTGGTGTCGTGTGAAAGTCGGCCTGTGCCGGATCCCCCGGAGAGTGTGGCAGCCCCCAGGCCGTTAACACTCGGGGGGAGAGGCTGGCCCCCCCCCCCAGACTCCGACTTTCTTCACACCCCACATGCTCGTCGGGGTCTCTAGTGGGGGGGTCCTTGGGGTCCTTCCCATCGGGGTCAATGGCTAGGCTGGGCACGGGCGGGCGGCGCAGGCGGCCGCGGGGGCCGGGCGGCGGCGGCGCGGAGACGGGGCACCTTGCGTCGGGCGCCCCCTTGAGTGCCGGAGACCCCGAGGAGGGGCCCGCTAGCGGTTTGAGCCAGGGGGCTACGGTTACAGACGCATACCGCCGCACGCACACGCACACACGCACACACGCACCCACGCACGCACGCACACACGCACACACGCGCACACGCACACACGCACGCGCTCGCACACCACAAGAACACGAGCACACGCACACATGCACGCGCTCGCACACGCACACGCACACACGCACACACGCACACACGCACACACGCACACGCGCACGCGCACACGCACACACGCACACACGCACGCGCTCGCACACGCACACGCGCACGCAAACGCGCACGCACATGCACACGCACACGCGCACACGCGCATACGCGCACACGCGCACACGCACACGCACAAACACAGCACATGCACCACGCAATGACCACGCTCGGTTGTTTATCTGAAACGCGCAACGCGTTATCTCGCGGGCCAAACGCAATTTTCGGTTCGCCTGGGTCTCTGCGTTCTCTATGAGCGCTTGCCTCGTGCTTCCGCGGCTTGCTTCAGCACTGCGTGCTGGTGTCCGACGTGCCCCCTGCGCCACCACAGCGAAGAGTTACATTGGGCAGTGCAGCGGCTGTGCCTGCGCTGTGATGTCTCTGGAGCCGAATTGCTTTTGAAGCTCACACAGAGCTTAACGGTTCCGCGCGGGCAAAATCAAACCCTAGCGAAGGACCCAACCATGTGCAGTTGTGGGTACCGCAATTGTGAACATCTTCTTCGGTGAAACTCCCTATGGGGCCACGAAGCGCTGCACTGGGTGGGGGGGAACGCTGTTCTGGGTGAGTGGTGTGTCAAGTAAGGTTTCCGGGACGCATGCGGACGGTCCCACTGGGGGCTTCGGTGGAGCTCCCTATGGGGCCACGAAACGCTGTATTGGGTAAGTGAAAATGCCAAATTGGGCTTCCGGGACGCATGCGGACGGTCCCACTGGAGGCTTCGGTGGAACTCCCTATGGGGCCACGAAACGCTGTACTGGGTGAGTGAAGATGCCAGATTGGGTTTCAGGGACGCATGCTGACGGTCCCACTGGAGGCTTCGGTTGAACTCCCTAAGGGGCCACGAAACGTTGTATTGGGTGGGTAAAAATGCCACGTTGGGTTTTCGGGACGCATGCGGACGGTGGCACTGGAGCCTTCAGTGGAGTTCCCTACGGGGCCACGAACTTCTGGACTGGGTGAGTGAAAATGCCACACTGGGTGTTTCGGGACGCTTGCGGACGGTCCCACTGGGGCCTTCGGTGGAGCTCCCTGTGGGACCACGAAGCGCTGCATTGGGTGGGTGAAAATGCCACAATGGGTGTGCGGGACGCATGCGGACGGTGGCACTGGGGCCTTCGGTGGAGCTCCCTGTGGGGCCACGAGACGTTGTAATGGGTGGGTGAAAATGCCAAATTGTGTGTTTCAGGACGCACTCGGACGGTCCCACTGGGGGCTTCGGTGGAGCTCCCCATGGGGCCACGAAACGCTGTACTGAGTGGGGATGACGCATGTGGACGGTGGCACTGGGGCCTTCGGTGGAGCTCCCTATGGGGCCACGAAACGCTGTACTGAGTGGGGGGGGATGCATGTGGACGGTGGCACTGGGGCCTTCGGTGGAGCTCCCTAAGGGGCCACGAAACGCTGTACTGAGTGGGGAGGACGCATGTGGACGGTGGCACTGGGGCCTGCGGTGGAGCTCCCTATGGGGCCACGAAACGCTGTACTGAGTGGAGGGGGGGACGCATGTGGACGGTGGCACTGGGGCCTTCGGTGGAGCTCCCTATGGGGCCACGAAGCGCTGTACTGGGTGGAGGGGGGGACGCATGTGGACGGTGGCACGGGGGCCTTCGGTGGAGCTTCCTATGGGGCCACGAAGCGCTGTACTGGGTGGGGGGGACGCATGTGGACGGTGGAGAGGAGGAGGGGGCACAGGAGGAGAGGAGGAGAGGAACGCGGGGACCGTCTCTTCAAAACGAGGACCCAACACCACAGCATGGTTGGGAACAACTTCCCCGCAGGGGAGGGCGGGCTTTGCGCGCGCCTTTTTGGGGTAGGTCCTCACTAGATAAACGCTGGCTGCAAGCTCCTCCATTTCTTTTCTCCTGTTCCCCCTGCTCCCTCTTGCCTTGCCTCCTCATCCTCTTCCCTTTATCTTCCTTTGTCCTCCCTCTCTCGTTTCTCTTCTCCCCATGGCCTCTCACCCCAGGAGGCTGGAGGAGCTTGGCGAGCAGCTGCAGGCAACCTCTCTAGAGTTGAGACGCAGCGAGGACGCGACCAAGGGGTAACTGGACGCCGGCTGTCGGGGAGGATGCGGAGGAGGAGGAGGAGGAGTGGAGGAAAATGATGAAGTGTGAAGGAGAAAACATGGGGAGGAGGAGGAGAAGGAGGATGAGCAGCATAAGGAATCGGAGCAGGAGCAGGAGGAGGAGGAGGAGAAGAAAAAGGAGGAGGAGGACAGAGAAAGGAGAAGGGGAAATGAGGGGGAGAAGGGAGTGGAAAGGAGGAGCAGGATGAGGAAGACGATGATAGAGGAGGAGGAGAAGGAGGAGGAGGAGGAGGAGGAGGAGGAGGGGGAATGAGAGGGGGAGGAAAAGGGGAAGGAGGAGGAGGAACATAAGGAATAGGAGGAAGAGGGGGATCGCGTTGTGCCCCCCCCTTCCCCCGCAGCCCCCAGAGGAGCACAAGGACCGCGCGCTGGCCGACTTGGGGGAGGCGCGCAGGCGCCAGCAGGAGGCGCGTCGGCGGTGGCCGGAGCGAGGGATGAGGCGGGGGAGAGGGGAGGGTGGAGGAGGAATGGACAGAAATCGGATGGCGGTCGTGGTGGTGTTGAGGATGAGGATGAGGATGAGAGCGAGGGTGAGGATGAGGAGAAAGAGGAGGAGGAGGAGCAGGACTATGCTGATGGTGACGATGATGATAGCGATGACGATGATGAGGATTAGGATGAGGACGAGGGTGATGATGCTGATGCTTGATGATGCCGATGATGGTGATGATGTTGTTGCTGATGATGGCGATTATAATGATGCTGTTGGCGCGGAGGAAGAAGATGAGGATGAACATGATGAGGATGACGATCATGATGATGAATCTGAGGATACTGACGACGCCGATGGTGATACTGACGATGTTGATGATGTTGCTGGATTTTTTGGGTGATGCTGATGCTGCTCATGATGATGATGATGCTGATGATGATGACGATGATAATGATGATGACTATGATGGTGATGGTGATGGTGATGATGATGGTGCGGATGATGATGCTGATATTGATGACGATGCCGATGGTGATGATGACGATACTGATGATGTTATGGCCGTCGATGACGATGCTGATGATCACGATGGTGATGGCGATGATGCGGATGATTCTGCTGAATATGGCATTGTCTATGTATAGGAATGAGGATTATGCTGCTCACGTTTATGCTGATGCTGCTGATGATGCTGATGATGATGACGGTGGTGGTGATGCTGATTGTGTTTATGATTGAGAGTGCGTTTGTGACGGTGCTGGTGATGCTGATGCAGAAGGTGGTGATGTTCATAGTCATTGTGGTGGTGGTGACGGGCTGATGGTCATGGTAAGGATTGTGCTGGTGATTGGGTTGACGAGGATGGTATTCGGATTTTAGGTTGCCCTCGCGCGCACCCGCGCCGTGGCACGAGTTCCAGATAGTGATGATGATAATGGCGGGAATGGTGAGGGTACGGAGGATTATGATGGTGGTTTTGGCGATATTGGCGGTGATGATGGTGATGTTGCTGCTTATGATGATGATCAAGAGGATGAGGATGAGGATGAGGACGATCATGATCATGATCATGATCATGATCATGATCATGATGATGATGATGCTGATGATGATGATGGTGATGATGATGATGATGATGTTGATGATGATGATGATGTTGATGTTGATGTTGATGATGATCATGATCATGATCATGATCATGACGATGCTGATGAGGATGATGATAATCATGATGGTGATGATGGTGATGGTGATGGTGAGGAGAAGGATCAGGAGGAGGAGGATGAGGAACATGTTGCTTGAGATGCTGCGGGGGATGAGCAAGACGATACTGACAATGGTGATGTTGATGGAGTAGTGAACGAGGGAAGGAGGAGTGGTGAACGAGGATGTAGAGCGGGAGGGGGGTTGGGGGAGCGGGGAGGAGGGACGGGGGGCAGGAAGGATCGAGATTTTGACTGGGTTTGTCCCGCTCAGGCCTCCGGGGGGCGCCCTCGTGGCCACGGCTGGGTTCGCCTTGATGTCTTGGCCAGCAGCCACTCCAGGACAGGAGGGGGAGGGATAAGGGAGGATAGGGTGGACGGCGGACGGAGGAGGAGGAAGGCTGGGGAGGAACGAGGATGAGGAGGAGGAGGAGGAAGAGGAGGATGAGGAACGAGGAGGAGGAGGAGGAGGAAGAGTGGCGAGGAGGAGCGAGGAGGAGGAGAAGGAGGAGGATGAGGAGGAGCAGGAGGAGGGAGCGGAGGAACGAGGAGGAGGGGGAGGGGGGGGAGAAGGAGGAGGAAGGAACAACGAACAACACGAGACGAGGAGGGCTGGTAAGAGCCGGGCGCCGCGCCGCGCTGGGAGGCCAGCTCCCGGGCGCTCGACCTGGAGAGGGCCCTCGAGCGCTGCCAGCGGGAGGGCGAGGAGAAGGCGCGCGCCTGCGCCGCCCGACCGCCTCCAGGGAGCCCGCCTTCGATCCGCCCTCGGCATCGTCTAACCTCTAACCTGGAGCAGTGGGTCTGGCGCGGATGGGTCGGCGGCGAGAGGTGCAGCTGTTCACCAAGTGTGTACTGCTGCGCGCACGAGTGCGCAGCTGTTGCACGGGGGGCGCGAGCCGTTGCACGGGCGGCAACGGTTGCACATGCCAAAGATGCACAAGCGCATCCACGCGCACTTATTGCATCCAGCGCTCAAGCTGTTGCATCCAGGCGCCAACTATTTCGCGTACTATTGCACCTCTCCCCGCAGACCCACTTGCGCCAGACCCACAGTTCTCTGGCTTAAATGACCGATCCCCATTCCCACAGGACCATGAATTCTCAGTCCCACCAGCCCCCAGCCCACCCCCCCAGGCGGGGACGGGTCCCGCGAAATCAGCACGACGAGCCACAACAAAACGTCATTGCTTCCTCTTGGGGGCGCGCCACTGCCACGACGGTCATGCTTCGGCGCATTTGCGGCCAAACCAGTACGGGGCGTGCCGACGTGACTTGCCAGCATGCCAGCAGAATGTCGAGCACATCACACAGCAGCGCACGCACGACACAGACGAGCAGCGCGCGGCGGCTCGAGGTGCCAAGGCCCGGGGGTGACCCGATCCGCCCGCGTGCGCCAGGGCGAGGGCTCTCTGCCTCGGCGTTGCGTCATTCATTAGCCCTGGCATCGCTCGGATGTGTGATTTCTTGTCGGCGAGGACCATCGAGGAGCATCCAGGGCCGTCTTGCGGCAGAACGCACGAGGCCGAAACATGCACGGGAATGGACGTCCGAGCGATGGCAAGTAGTCCGGGATGAAATTTCTGGGAGGTTGAACTCAGAATCGGCGCTGTTTGATCAGTGGTCGAAAACCTGCCCAATCCCGCACATCCCCGCGCAATTTCGCTAAATTCCGTTTAGTCCGGCCTCATCCGGCTGTTTCCTGAGCTTAGTCAGGCTTAATCCGGCTTAGTGGCCCCCTCAATCGAGCTGAATAGCCCTTGTTCGTTCTGACGAAGATCCCCCAGGAGTTGCTTCCTGACCTAGTGCGCGTCACGCAGAGCCGCCCGCGTCTCGCTCCGCCTCTCTGACGGCAGTGACGTGGGGAGCCGTACCTGCCAACCACGGCGAATTTTCTGCTGCAGCCCTCACTGTCTGCCTCTCGCGCGGTGCGGCTTGGGTCACATTCGGGGCAACGCTGGCACGAGGACCGAGGGCAACCCTGGTCTCGGAGGCGTGCCCTTCTGTTCTTCGCCCGTGGGCCCCCCAAGCTTGCGACGTGTGGGTCAGGCGGCCAGCGGAGCTGAGGCCATACAAGTGGGGACGGGGCTCAAACTATGCTCACGATCGATTCGGTTCGACATCGATGCTGGCCAGCCCGGTTCGACTCGATTCTGACAATCTGCCATCCGATATTGCCTGATGCTTGCCAGACGTCGTTTCGGTAAAGGCGTCGGAGGCCGTGGGGGCTTCCGTGGGAATCCTGGGGGCACTTGGGCCCAGGGACACTTCTTGCAACACCCGATAGTTGTGCATCTTTGCTCGGCCGGCCCGATTCGACTTGGACTCCATGACGACGCAACACGATCCGACGCACGTTCTGCCCGACCCGATTTCCCGATTCGATGCTGAATGATCCTCACGTCGGGCTGTGTGATATTCAATCCTGCAGATTTTCCTCCGTTTCGGCCTTTGTGGGCCGTGTTCGTGTATTTTACCCCTCGTATTCGGCGCACGCTTTTTTTTGAACGGTAGGTCCGCCGGGGTTCTGGGAGGTCTTTCGGTCCGTCTGGGTCTTCCCCCCGCTCTTCTCTTGCCTGCCCTCCTCCTTCCTTTCGAGGGAAGTGGATCGGTGAGGATATCGCCGCGTCGCAGCATTCGTGCTCGAGTGGCGGCAGGAAAACGCCGCGCGCTTCCATTCGTCGTCGTCCGGCGTGTTACACACGGTCAATAACCAGTCGCGCCAACCGTCGTTGCCACGGCCGGAATCAAGCTTTATTCAAATGATGGAATTCCTGGCCCGGGGGCTGGAGCGAGCCCATGCGCACGTTATCAGCCGAAACAGTGCGAGAGCAGCGCAAGAAGATGGCATCCTCAGGAGAGCTGGAGACATCATCTCCGATGCGTCGATCGACGCGGAGAATACCAACAAACTGTTCAACAGCAGCAAGCGGGATACGGACAACTCGTCCCATTAGACACTGATTCGGGAAAGTATCAAGCCCACCCACTTCGAGCGAGTGATCGGGCTCCAGTGGCGGGGCAATCCGCCGCTAACACGGCCAGATTCCGAATGGATTATGCAGAAAGGGAGGTTTGCTCCATATCCCAGTGCAGCTAAGTGGGGGGACGATTCTCCAGCGATTAAAGCGACAGAGTCAAGGACACCCTATTTGTTCAACCAGGTTAGACAGGTCCCCCATCGCGCTGTAGACGAACTGCCATCCAGGCCACAGGCGGGGCAGCAGGGATGGTCCAAAGCTGCTGCCGTCCAACAACATATCTCAATTTCAGTGTCCGAAGTGCTCCAAACGCTAAGCCGGCATACAGCCAACGCACGACAGCAGGCACTGCAGGAGCTGGGCAGAGTGTTCGAACAACAGCAAGAGGCCAACTTGAACAGGTTTCTTTCGTCCTGCTCGGAGTTCGTACATTCCCCACGAGCGCAACGAGCCCAGGTGGTATATTTTCAGGCTCGCGCCGTTATTTTCGAAATCGTGACACCAAAATCGCGCAGTAGAGCATCGAATCGGACCAACGAGTGACGGACCATGGGCTAATGCGTCTGCTCGATCGCATGTGTGCAGTGTCGGAATCTTCCGCAATGCCTACGAGTGCGAGTTGCGTCCTGGATGACCGAAGGGCGGCACTCGCTCCGGGCACTAAAGGGGTACGTCTCAATGTTGGGGAAGAGTAGCGCCGAATCAGGTGGACTGGAGCTCCCTGCAGGATCGCGGGCCCACACGAGAGGTCGCACCTGGGGTCCAGTATAGGCTGTCAACAACCGCTCATCACCAGGAGGGACGGAATATTGCAGGTGGACACTGTTCTGCGCATTGCGATGTGATTGGCGCGCAAGGGCCCATACAAATCCGTGCCGTTTGACGTGCAGGGCAAGATCCAGGCGCTGCGCGAAGGGGCGCAGGGGCGCTACACTTCCAGCCGCCAGCTTGAGCGTCCAGGTGAATAATAACATGGGTATTCATATTAGCAACGTGGATCGGACCCGCAACGGAGACGCATCATCTCTGGGTCGGACCAATATGAGATTTGACGATTTGTCCAACATTTGTATCTTCGTTAGGAGACAGTCACGCAGAGGGCTGCCGCGGGTAGGCAGCCTTCGCTAGTCGCAAGGCACGTCAGCCACTTCGGGCGAATAGCGGTGGATAACAGCGCCCAGCTGCCACCGGCACCGAGGGAATTGCCGGATAGGGCCCTCCCCCGCGACTGATGTTTTTGCTCCTCCAGGACAGGGCGCGCTGGAGAAACCCGATGCTCTGAGGCCTGCGGCGGGGGGGGCCGCGGACAGGCAACCCGTTGGCGCGCCAGCCTCTGCGCCGCCGCTGCCGTGTGCGCGGGCCGAACGGGGGCCGGCCTTGCGTCGACGCGACTGGCTGGCTGCCCCTCACCACCCAGCGCGGGAAAAGAGGGCGACGCCGGATCGGCGGGCTCAATCCACAGATTTTGTGCGGAATTGACTCTTGACTTTCACCGTCCGAGATGGATCGACCAGGGGCGGTTGGATCATGTCGCGAGTATGCGCTGGTGGAGGTCGCACAACTACACATGGGCAAGGGTGAGAAGTGAAAAGAAGCATAATGGTCAAGGTTCAGAGCCTTGCCATCAGCACCATCTTCCGAGAATGGGAATAGGAGACGCGTGAGGCTCCGAGCTCATGTTCGAGCATGCCCAGCGCAGCTTTCAGACGGTTCCGCGAGGTCGAGAACAATGGTGCGAATTACGCGCGAAAAGCTCGCTGGCAGCGGCGAAGTCGATGCGTGGGAAGGATCAGCGTCGCCAGCGCTAAGTGACCCCATGGAAGCGATGGCTTGAGAGAGCGGGTCTGCTTTCGCATTGAAAAGCCAGGCATCGCGACTGCCTGGGAAACTCATTATATCTTCGGGTCAATGATCTGGCGCGGGCCCGCCCAGGCCGATATTTGCTTGCGCAGTTTCTTCCACCTCAATGTAGTCAAAACTTCGCGCACCAATCTGAGCGAGTTTTGAGAGGAACGGTGCTAGGCTGCATTTGGCATGGCATCTGTGCCCAGGGTGCCATTCTAGTAGCCCGCGTTTCGGTCGCAGGCAGAACCCCGTCGAGACGGGAGGGGCGCGGGCCCGGCCGGGCCCAGCCGCGCCCGATCCGCCCGGGCTTCGGAGGCGGAGAGAGGAGAGGAAACGCAGACGTTCGAGAGAACAGCGGGTTTCCTCGTTCTGCGCAGCCTCCCTCTACTGCTTGTGCTCCTCCTCCGTCGCGCGCTTGGCTTAAGGCCGCTCTAAGAGAGGCCTCAGCATCCTTTTTGGAGGCCCCGCCCACCCACGCCACAATAAAGCGGTGGGTGGGGTTTGCCGCTGAGTTTTCTCGGCTTGCGCTTGCCGCGTCGCGGTCGGCGCGCGCTCGGCCCCCCGCCTCGCCGTGAAAGGGTATCCCCCCCCCCTGGTGCTACAGCGCGCCAGGCGGGGGGGTTCGGCGGCGAGACACGCCGCGGAGCTCGCGCCCTCCAGCGGGGGGGCGCCTCAGGCCGTGAGGAAGAGAGTCCGAGGAGCGCGAGGGCGCGCGGGGAGGAAGAGGGGGGGCGGCCTGAGGGGCGCGGGCCCAGCTGGGCCCAGCCGCGCCCGATCCGCCCGGACTTCGGAGGCGGAGAGAGGAAAGTAAATTGGAGGCTGGAGGGGGAGGAGGACGACGAGGAGGATATGGAGGAGGAGGGGGAGGAGGAGGAGGAGGAGGAGGAGGAGGATCAGCAAAAAGAGGAGGAGGAGGAGGACGAGGACGAGGACGAGGACGAGGAGGAGGATCAGTACTACTTTATCCTGCACATGTTCTCGGGTAGGCGTCGGATGGGGGACCTGCAGGAGTGGATCGAGCATTTCCAGGCCCATGCTCCCCAGGACAGGCTGAAACTTGTGCGGGCGTTCGTGGTTGTCGGTCTGCTCGGGGGGCCCCCGTGTGAGACTTGGAGCGCGGCCAGGTTCAACACTCTGGCCAACGGTAGGGGCCCCAGGCCGGTTAGGTCCAAGGGGCTCCCCTGGGGCATTGAGTGCCTCACCAGTAAGGAAAGGAGGCAAGTGGATCTCGGCAATGTTTTGCTGAGAACCATGTGTCGTTTTTTGGTGGCTTGCGCGGGGCACGACACCCCCGCCATTATGGAACACCCGGCCGAGGCTCACTGGCGACCGCAGGCTCCCTCTTCGTGGCTGCTGGACGAGGTTCGATATATTCTGTCGTTGCCAGGAGCCGAGACGGTGACGGTTGCTCAGTGCCTTTTTATGGGTGCGAGTATGAGAAGCCTACTACGTTTCTGACCATCCACCTTCCCTCTCTGGGGATAAAGGTCCGCGAAGGGCCTGGGGGGGGAGGTGCAACCATCCTGGTCGGCATCGTCAGGCCCTTGGCCGTGGGGAGCAGAGGGAGTTCCGAACAGCTGCGTTGAAGGAATACCCCTCTGAGTTGTGCAAGTTGCTGGTTCGATGTATGTGGGACGGGGTTGAGGCCAGGACGAGGGTCGGCCCCAGGACTTGGGAGGTCCCTCGAAAAGGTTCTCGGCTTTTATATCCCCCTATACCCATATTGTGAGTTCGAGCGAAAACATGACTGTGCCCAAAAGTGGGGCAGAGGCGATAGCTCCAGCGAGTTTGGCGGCAGCCGCTAAACGGCGGTGGCGGGTGTGAGGAGGCCCCGTTCCGCGCCTTGCCGCGAGCCGCCGTCCGCCCGCGTTCTATCATCATGCAAGTTGAATTCGATACGCTTCGAACATTCATCATGCTGGAAACCGTAGAAGCCGTAAAAGGAGGAGGAGGAGGGTGAGGGGGAGGAGGAAGAGGAGGAGGGTGACGGGGGAGGAGGAGGAGGAGGAGGAGGAGGAGGAGGAGGAGGAGGAGGAGGAGGAGGAGGAGGAGGAGGAGGAGGAGGAGGAGGAAAAGGAGGAGGAAAAGGAGGAGGAGGAGCAGGAGGACGAACACGAGGACGAGGGCGGCACTAGCGCGCCCGCGCTGGAGGCCGAAGCGGCCGCCGCCCGGGGCGCCAGCGCATTCGAGGCCCGGAAGGTTGAGCTGGAGCAGCAGTGGTACGAAAAGGACGCGCGGGCCGCAGATGGGGAAGCCATTCGCCTGGAAGACCCAGGTGGGTACGGAAAGTTAACGCCGAGAGCCTCCCCCTGGGCCTCCCAAGTGGGGTCGAGTCGAAGTAGGTGAGGTCGGAGGATCGCGCCGTATCTCCGATGCATCGGCGATGCAGCTCGATGCGGGTCTGATTTTCTTCTGCGCCGACGGCGCCGATGCAATGCCGACGTTGCCGATGCATCGTTGATGCATCGGCTATGCCTGGGAGGCCTCTAATCAATCTGGAGGATCGTGGTAGGTACCGAGAGCGCCCTGCGAGAGCCTCCTGGGGCCTCTCTCGGCCGCTGTAGGAATGGCCAGAGAGGTGGGCGCAGGAGAGGCCGAGCGGTCCTCCGAAAGTTTCCGCAGCGAGTCTGCGCGGGCCCCTCAGAACTCCCACCTGAAGGCTTCCACGGCGAGTGGCGGACGTATCAGCCTCGCCCACTGGTCGTAACCTCCGCCTCCTGTGCGCCCGTCTGGGGAGGAGCTTCGGATTCCACAGATCTCGAACATAGAAGCGGGCACGGACACGATAGTGACGGAGACCGACATCAGTTCTTGTCCATTTTGAACCGGACTCGCTGCCAGTGTCGTTGCGGACGTTACCTTTTTGAGGCAGACCGCTGTGGGTTTGGATATGCTGCTGGGCATCGTGCCCAAATTTTCTGTGCCCATGTCGGGCGTCCAAGACCATCAGTCAAGGCCTCTCCAAACCAGGACATTGCTTGGCTGACTGTCAGAACTTGAAGCACTTCGCCTGCAGAGAACAAAAAGTGGACAACGTTTCGGCACACGGCTGCAGTTTTCTCCAAGTCCCAGCTTGGGGGGCCCTGAATCAGGGGCAGGGTTGGGCCAACACCACGCAAGCTTGCTTACGTGATGTGTGCGCCGGACCCGCAGCGGCGACGCGCGCGCTCAGAAATCTTGCAGTACAGGCTCGGTGGTTGGCGCTGTCTGGCCATAATGGCCGCCTGGGCAACGATACTTCAAACTGTTTGTACTATGTGTTCGTCTCGGACGTGTGTCTCCAAGGGGGGGTGCATAGTACTGGTATGTCTCGTAGTTCCACTAGAGAGGGAACATGTAGGCTCAGGAAGGGATGCGTCGACCCCAACTCGCCCATTCATCGCCGAAAGGGAGCCGATCTCCCCTACCCCGCACGGGAACGTGCAGATTCTCGATCGAGGGCCCATCTCCGATCTGTCGGCGACGTATCGCTGACTCAAGGTCGATGTTTTCCCCCCTGAGCTGGTCCTCCTGTACCGCTGCCCCTCAGGCCAGGGAGGATGGGGGGATCTGACGACCAATCAGAAGAGTTCTACAGTCAAGATTCTGAAATAGTGAACAGTTCGGGCTCGGAAGGGACTTTTTGTTCCTTAGGTCCGTCCATGGGTGTTCCTTCAGCGCTCCTCGTGCACAGGGGCGCTTCTGTGGCTACTGAGGGGCTCCGTTCCTGATTCGGCGTTCCTTCTGGTCGTCGGTTGACTGTGCTCTGCCTCGGGCCTCGCCTCCATCGCGCCACACTCTCGGTAGGCTGCCCGCCGGAGGCACTCCTATGGTATGGACTCAGGTGGGCCCAAGAGGGTGCCTCGCCCCTTCTCGGCGGAGGTCGAGGAGCCGCAAACATGGATTGGGGCGCGTGGGTCTGTGGCGGGTCCTGCTTCCGTGCAGAAGCGACGCGCTCCGTCGCCAAACGAGGCGGCACGTGCTTTGTGTGTGCGCTTCGGAGGGTTCTCCCCTCGATCCGTGGACCTGGCGCCCACGAGCCGGATCCACGGATCCCAAGTCCGTCTTAGCGTGTGCCCGAGGAGGGGGGGGGGAGAGGGAAGGGGGTTGGAAGGTGCGTGACTCGGTCTTCTCGCCCAGATTCTGACCCGGATGAGTTTTGCATGGCGATGTACCGCCCCGCTTTTCACTTTCACACCGGGCGGACATGAGAAGCACGCGCCGCTCGATCCAATCGATCCGATCTGATGTCGGTTTTGATCAGTTCGATCTGATTTGGTTCGGTAATCCGACGGCCCGATTTGACCCCATGTTGGCTGAAGGACGGCTCCCGAGTCCTGCGTCTCTTCTTAATGCTCGGCCTCATGGGCCCTCTTCGGGCCCTGGGACTGTCAAGAGCGACGCAGAATGAAGAGCTGGTCCTGGGAGAAGGACCCCCCAAATTCCGGGACCCTTTTTCCACTGTTGTTTCCTTCATGCCAAGCATTGTGCATGGCGTTGTTGCCCGTCTCCGCGCGGCCGATTCTATTCGATGGCGACTCTTTGCCGAGGTGGCTCGATTCGACGCATATTCCGATCTGATCCGGTCTCCTACGGGCGGCAGTGTGGCGAAATCTCGGGGGACCCATCCATTTCTTTGGGTACAACAGTAAGAACCTGTAAGGGCAATCATTGTTTGGGGAACATGCTATTTTGAGCATGCCGCAGCGCGCCCTAAGTAGCGGTTTGCTGTACGATCGTGGGCGTGATACGTACGAGTTGATCTCGTTGGACGATGTGTTTTGCAGAAGGGCGTGGCCAGCCATGGGTTTGAATTACTTGACTTGATTTCTCGATCCCGTTGGCAAGGCCTATGTCCGCCGGAGACTCAGATAGCCATCTTGGCGACTTGCATGATCTACTTGTTTGCTCGTTGTAGCCGTGTCCCAGCGGCGATGCCGAAGAGCCCCACCGCTCGGCGGCACGGCCGCGCAGGACGACCGTAGGAATTCGGCACGGCAGACCGTCCTAGACGCAGCCGTGCTTGCGCCGTTGTGAAGCAATTTCGAAACCTCATGCCACGGCGATTGGTAATCTTCAAGGCAACATGTGATCCAGATGATGTTGTTGAGCTCTGCTTTTTCCGATGTTTCCCTCACGCTGTATATCGGAGGCCATCTTGGAACGACTGGGGGCTGCTTGGGACTGAATTGGGCAAAATCGCGCTGCTTGGATGGTCTTTGGGCCCCTCGGAGTATTTTACCAGGGACAGTGGCTTCGGGCACGCGAGTACGGTGTAATTTGCTCAGGATCGTGGCCTCGGTGGCGCGAGCACTTTGTAATTCATTAGAGATCGAGGCATCGACGCGAACATGGTATAGTTTACAACAGGATCGTGGCCTCGGGGGGACAGACGTAGCGTAATTTGCAAGGGATCGTGGCCTCGGGGACCGAACATTGCGTCATTTGCAAAGGATCGTGGCCTCGGATGCGCGACTATTAAATAGTTTATCAGGGATCGTGGCCTCGGGGACGCGAGGATCATGTAATTTGCAAGGGATCGTGGCCTCGGGGACGCGACCATCGCGCAATTTATGTACAAGGGATCGTGCCTCGGGGCGTTAATTTACACAGGATCGTGGCCTCGGGGACGTGAATTTTGCATGATTTGCGAGTGATAGTGAGTGGCCTCGGGATGCGCATATGGTGTAATTTACGAAGGATCGTTGTCTCAGGGCCGCGACTACGGAATAACGTGCGAGGGATTGTGGCTTCGGGGGCGCGAATCTTAAGGATTTGTACGTGTCCCACGGCCCCGCAGGAATTCAGAGCACTCGATTTCGGGGGATTGAAAAGCTGGCTTGGGCTTGCCCCCCCTCGCGTGGACTTGAATAATTTAGGCTTTGGAAGTAGGGCTATAACATGGGAGACTTGAAACTAGAACCGGAGCAGTGAGCAGCAAGCCTAACCCCCGCAGCCTAATGGCCCCGCAAGGGTGCTGGCCTCCCAGATGGAGTTCGAATAGATGGGATCGGAGGATCGCGCCGCATCGCCGATGTACCGGCGGTGCGGCTCGATGTGAAGCCCGATGTTCTCCACGCCGACGGCGCCGATGCATGGCACCCCATCTGCTCGGATCCCATCTGGGAGGCCTCTAGTTGTCGGTTCTCGCGCGCGTGTGCTGGTTACTGCCGTCGCCAGCCCCGTCCGCGCCCGGCCTCGGAGCCGTTCTGCAGGGGCGTTCGGAGGGGCGAGGCCGCGAGAAGGCGAGGTCGCGTGTGCACATGGACGAAGATCAGAGGCGGAACATGCACCGATACCATTACCTTTCCCTCGTTTTCGCCTTTCCCCCTGTGAGCCCCTCGTCGACACGGCTGGATTCGCTTCGAAATTCTGGTCAGAACGCACCCGGGGAGAGGTCCGTGGAGTAGCGGTATCGGTGCCTTTGATTTCCCCAGAAGGGCGAGGGACGATGATTAGGAGTAGGAGGAGAAGGAACGAGGAGGATGAAGTTGGTCCATGAGGATGAGAGGAGCAATTATTCAAGGGACGATGCTTTTTGTTTTCGACCCCGCTGATAATCATCCGATGACACCCCGGGACGCAAGGAGAAGAGACGCAATACCAGCTGGGCCAAGTGTGTAGAATCAAACGATCAGCACCATTATTGCGATCATCCTCCACCCCCACACTCCATCTGCATATTTACATGTTTCAGAAGATCACATGTAAAAGAAGGAGGAAGAAGCTGAGAATTAGGGGATGAGGAGGGGGATGATGATGAGAAGGAGGAGGAGGGCAAGTTGGAGCGGGATGAGGAGGCGGAAGAGGATCGTGCAGGTCGTGGGGGTACGTGCCCAGTTCTTTTGTCGTGGGTGCTTGGCAGGAGCGGGGATACCAGAGGGACCTTGACCTCAGGAGGACGCAGACCGAGTCCCTCAAAGAGGAGCGTCCCGTATTCCCCATAATCGTGCATAGCTACCACGTCTGATCTTCTTTGTGTTTCTTCCCCGTATCAGCATGGGCCGCTTGTACCGCGCGGGTCTGATCAGTCAGGTCCCCACCCACTCATTTCTCATGGCCCCTCTTCATATATTCATTAGTCTTCTATCTGTACACACGTTGAGGACCTTAGCCATATATCGAATGGCCTTCGGCCAATCCCGCCGCCGTGCCTGGGTCGTGGGTGAGAGTTCTCAGGGATGCTTTTTGGGGTTCGGAGCGCTCTCGGGGGCCTCTTGGGGGCAGGGTTAGGGCCTCTTGGGGGCTTCTCGGGGGCCCCCTGAGGCCTCTTGGGGGCCTCTTGGGACCTCTTGGGGGTCTCTTGCGGGCTTCTCGGGGCCTCCTGCTAGCACGGAGGCCTCAGCCGCGAGGCGCCGTGCGCAGGAGACGGAGGAGACCGAGGGGTCCGAGGTGGCGACGGCGGACGACAGCGGTGGCGACGGCGAGTTGCGGGCCGGGGTCGGCGATGACGACGACCTGCCGCCCGAGCTGGCTGAATTGCGTGACAGCCCGCAGTTCGAGCAGGTGGCGGTGTTGGTTGCCCAGAACCCTGGGGTGCTGGAGCAGGTGCTGGGGACTTTGGCGCGGACCAACTCGGAGTTGGTGCAGGCCCTCCGGCAGTACCCCGAGGTGTTCACGGCGTTGGTGCGGGACGCGGTGGGGACGTGGACGACGACGAGGGCGACGTGGGCAGCCCGTCCGAGGGCGTTCCCACGAGCGCGAGCGAGTTGGAGCGCCTACGGGAGGAGAGAGCGAGGCAACGGCAGGAGAGGTTGCCCGGCCTGCTTGCCAAGCTTCGCGCGGCCCATGGGGCGAAGGCGCGGTGAGTCGCAGGACGTCCGTTTCCTGGCGTTGGAGGCGGGGCACGTCGGGGCAGGCAGCATGGCGTGGGGGGCTTCAGGCGGGACCCGCCTGGGTCTCTTGAGGGAGCAAAGCGAACAGCTTCTTGTGGCCTCCTGGGGGCCCCTCGGGGCTGAGGGCTCTTGGAGTCGTCTTTCGGGCCTCTTGGGCCGTCTTGGACGCCACTTGGGCCGTCTTGAGACCCCCTTGGGCTGTTTTGGAGACCTCTTGGAGGCCGCTTGGGGCGATCTTGGGAGCGTCGGGAAGCCAAAAAGGCGAGAAAGCAGGTAAACACCTCCATCCATGATGTTGGCCTCTTGGGGCCCTGTCGGAGGCCTCTTGGAGGCCTCTTGGAGGCCTCCTGGGGCGTCTTGGAGGTCTCTTGGGCCGTCTGGAGGCCATCTTTCGGCGACTCGGGGCCCTCTTGGACCGTCTCGGGGGCCTCTTGGGGCCCTCTTGGCTCGTCTTGGGGCCCTCTCGGGCCCGAGAAATTGGTTCTGACGCGCGCATAGACACGGGGTTCTGCGCCGAGTCCAGGCAGGACATCCCGTACCCAGCTTTCTGCTGGCGGTGGGCGTGCACGATGGCCGACAAGTGGCGCGCTACACAGCATATCCACATTCTCGAATTCACTAGCGTTCTCAACTACTTCGCAAGAAGTTTCGCTCTTCGCATTCCCATGGATATCGGTATCTACACATCGTTGACAGCCGTGTTACGGCTGGAGTGCTAGCAAAAGGCCGTTCCTCTAGCAAGCGTCTCAACCGTCCCTGTCGACGGCTGGCTGCCTATCTGCTCGCGGCGGGTGGCTACGCGCTCCCCTTGTGGACTATATTTCGGTGGATGGCGGCGGACCGCGGGAGCCGCCTACATGCTGATGGCGGTGGGGGCGGGTAGCAACGTTCGGCGGCGAAGACCGCCCCAGGGGAGCCACCTGAAGTACGTGGGCATTGGCAGCAAGACGCTAGTAAGATACCAGACCCATGTTGCACGAATTTTCCAGTATCTGGAGGTGCTCCATAAGCCTTTCCCGACTACGACTGAAGAGCTCGACCTGGAGCTCAGTGAGTAGTTACATCAACCACTGATGGTCGGATGGGGACAGTCATGGGTACGCGGGGGCGGTCGTCTCTGGCCTGCGTCGTTTTGCGCCTCGACTCCGAGGGCGGCTCGCAACGTCCAGGCAGTATTTGCGTAATTGGGAGCGTACGTTGGTACGGAAGCGGGCTTCCCCGCTGCCGAAACGTTTTGTGATCGCCCTCGCTGGTGTAGCATAGCATGCGCTATCCTGTTCAGCGGTATCCTGTGCATGTTGAGGACGATGGAGTCAGTTACGTTGCACGTTGCAAGTACGACAGGTGTCATTCTTCCCCGGCGTGGAAAAAACATAATCTCTCTGCCATAATCAAGAGGTAGCCACAGGAATAACATGACGGAGCAGGTCATTGTAGAAGACCTGTTTGTGGTCGCCTGTTTTGCCTTGGCCTGCCGGGGGAAGCAACCGGAAGACATGATCTACTAGGCAGCGCCTCGCAGATTCTCTGGCGAACTGCAGTGGCTTGCACTATCACTCGGCATTTATCGCACGGACCTCACGCCCTACACACTCCGGCGCGGAGGCGCAACTTTCCACTTCCTCCAGTACGGCAATCTATCGAGAAAACGTGCAAAATCTACGTCCAGGAAGGAGCAGTACACCTGGCTGAATGGAGCACCACAGAGGCGCAACAGGCGCTCATTAACAGAGCAGCTTCCATGTGCGCCAGGGTTTTGCAACAGGAGAGGTCTGCATTCAAGCAGGTCGTTGGTAGACCTGGCCGCGCGGCCTCGTGAGGTCGGATTTCTCTGTCCCTACCGAGGGCAGCCTTATTAGGCTGGAGGGCCAGGGGGTGGGGCCTTTGCCCATTCTTGCTCCTCCCATGTGGCGCACCCCCGGGCCTTTGCCTGGGCTGGGGAGGGGCGCTCCCTGCCGCGGGCAGGGGGTAGGAAGGTGGTTTTGGCTGGCGCGCGGGCCCTGCGGTTGCCCTAGGGCGGGGGCCTCGATTGCCGATGTGGTGGCTTGAGGAGCTGCCCTGGGGCCAACTGCATTGGTTCCCAGCCCTGGGAAGGGGGTGTTTGCGCCCCTCTCCCCGGGCCACTCTTTTCCTCTGGTCGCGCGGGCGGTCGGACAGGGAGCGCGCCCGCGTGCGCGTGCCAGCCCGGCGCGAAAATGTAAGGAGGGAGTGATGGGGAATGGTGTATGCAATGGTACCCGGACCGCAGGGAAGGTACCAGATTACACCTGTCTCCCCATCCCTCCAGGGCCGCCTCCTCCCCGCCTCCTGCCGTCCTTTGAGGGCGCGATTGCTTCGGGGAGGACGCGTGGAGGACCCACGCTGTCAGCCTTCTTGAATGCTGACGGACGGTGGCCGGCCCGGGGGCGTTGCACTCTTGGCGCAACCTGTGGGCGGCGAAGTACGCACAAAGCCGTCAAGCGCACGGTGGGTCAGTATATGTCCAGCTTCTGAAGCAGCCACAACAACTGAGCGCGGTCGCACTGGGGGCGGTGCGCGGGCCCTGCGGCTGCCCTAGGGCGGGGGCCTCGATTGCCGAGGTGGTGGCTTGAGAAGCTGCTCTGGAGCCAAGCGCATTGGTTCCCAGTCCTGGGAAACGGGGTGTTTGCGCCCTTTTCCCCCGGCCACTCCTTTCCTCTGGCTGCGCGGGCGCTCGGACAGGGAGCGCGCCCGCATGCGCGCGCCAGCCCGGCGCAAAAAGGTAAGGAAAGAGTGATAGGGAATGGTGTATGTGTGTGTATATATGTATATGTACATGTATACATATATGTACATACATACACACGTATGCGTTACATATATATACACACATATATATGTATATATCTACGTATATATGTGCGTATACATATATGTGCACACATTGTCTTTCGGTGTTTGCATGTGCTTGCCCCATCCATTCTCTCTCAGTATCTCTTTCTTTCTTTATATCACAATTTGTTTGGTTCCTTCTCTCCCTCTGTCTCGCTGACTTCCTGCTGGTCCCCTTCCGTCTTGCCTGCGGACTAACAACGACACTCCATCGCCGCCATTGCGCATCTAGGCATAGGCGTGTGTTGTCCGCGGACATGTACCTGTTCAAGTCGAAACATGCGTTTATATTCGTTCGATCCAGTACCCAGTCGGCCTTCAACCATTATACTGGGCTTCGTATCGGATGAGACATACATATTGACTGCTGCCCTTGTCATCATAAAGTTTGCCAACCTCCCTGTGCACGATGCATCGAAGACAGGGAGGTGTGGATGATGCGGCCGTTGTGTTGTTTCAAGTTCCTCGACTTCTCTCCGCCTCCTGACGGCTTCTGGGTATTTCCTTGTTTCCCGCCTCCTTCTTTGTTCCTTTTCATTACCTTGCACACAGACGCCACTGGATGTGTGCCAGCTCGGACCCACTATATTGTGTTAGCAAGGTGGTGCACACTAATTGGCGTAAATTATTCGATGCAACCTGGGTGATTCACACTACGTGGTGCAAGCTATGAAGTGCAAGCTTTGCGGGCGCCCGCGATATGGCAACGGGTGGCTGCCTAACGCACGGCGGCAACGAGGCGCCCACGGGCGGCAACCGAACGGGCACCTGGCAAAACCTCGGCACCTCCACCCAGCGCGCAGGGCGCCTACGAGGCGCACCCGGGCCTCAGCAGACCGAACACCAGGAACCTCGGCACATTCGCCCATCGTACGGGGCGCTCGAAGTGCCCACGGGCGGCAGCCGACCGGGCACCAAACAAAATCGTGGCACAATCACACAGCGAAAAAGTCCTGGAGTGCAAGTTCCGTTTGGGGCCGTCGAGCGTGCTTTCACCATCGTCGTGGTTTCTTCCACACCAGCCATCAATTTCAATGAGCTTTAAAGAGAAATTATATAGCGAACGCTATATCAGACGATGTCCTGGCTCAAGACAGGGCGGTCCCATTTGCCAGTTACACAACTGTGTGATGCTATGTGCGGACCATAACACCGGACACACACACACGTCCTTTTTATGATCCATCTCCCGATGCCACGGTTTCTCTCTTACCTCTCGTCTTGTTTGCCATCAGTGGAT